GCAGGCACCCCCGGGGCCCACTTCCAGCTCTCTGCTCTTCACCAGTAAATGAAAAGGCCGCCCCAGGACACAAATTTTTGTTGCCCAAACGCTTCCGTGGTGTCGGGCGGCTCCGGCTGGGACGGTCCCACGGCCGCTCTCTGCGCCGCCCCGCTCCTCCCAGCATTTCTGTCTCTCCCCTTGCACGTGAGCACGGCGCTGCTGTCGCCCATGGAAGCTTTTTCAATCTAGTATTTTCCTCAGCAGCGTCCTCCAGCTCAGAGATACAGGGGCTTGGGTGTTTGCTTTTCCCTTTAGGTTCGATGTCAGTTCTTCTTCAAGATAAGGGGGGGGTGTGTGGAGAATTCAGGGTCTTTGGCTACCCACCCCCAATAATTTCAGAGGCAATTATTTTATTTCTCCCGTAACACATGGGAACGGGATCAGAACCAAAGCATTTGGCTGCTTACGCACGGGCTAACGCGGTGTAGCTGATGGCAGAGCTGTGATGCCCGCGGGAAGGGGTGGCCCCGGGGTGGCGATGGGGTCTGGCAGCCCTCGGAGCCGCTGCGAGGCTATTTCATGCTTGGGGAGCTTGACAAACAGGAGTGATTTATAGCTCCTGGGTCTGATCTTCATTGCGACCGAGGGCTGCGTGCGCCGCTCCAGCGGTGGGATCACCCCCTGTCAGCCGCACGCAGAAACGTCTGGGGTTCCCATTTTTTAAATTAAAGCCGTGGCTGATGAACTGTGCTGCGAGGAGCAGGAGCTTGAAGGGGCCTAGAAGGTGCCAAACCCCGACGGTTCCCCGGCGAGCCAGCTGCTCCGTGGCTAATGCACCTCCTGCTTCTTGGAAGCACTGAATCAGGTTGTATGATTTAGCGCTCAGGTGGATGAATGGTATTTATTTATCCCTGCCATGCAGCACGACTGCGTCGGTGCTGTGAACGTGGGACAGGCCGCTCCGAGCCCGGCACGCAGCGGGTCAGCCTGCACAAGTGCACCGGTGCGGTTTGGCCAGCAGCCCTCGGGCTGGCGGGGGGGGTCCTGTCTGGGGCCCGGCCTGCCGCC